GATAACATAGACTTAACCTTGTCCAACTCCAAACATGGTAACTAAGACAATTAATAGACCAATGCCGTGAAACCTTTAGCATTAAACATCACAGATTCTTTCTACTAACATGCATACACCTATTTACATACACTGATGTACTAAGTGTAAGGTAATCCAATCAACCCTCAAAGATGACACACCCCTTCACAAATTCATCTTTGACTAAATAGTTTCCTGATAGCTTTTGCATTGAAAGTTCAGTGACTTCTCCGTTAGCTATAGCTTTTTGCATTGAAAGTTCAGTGACTTCTCTGTTAGCTATATGCATATAGTGTAATATGAAGAAGTGATTAAGCACAACTAAAAGGTCTTACTTTACACTATCTGTCAAACAGCTGGATGAAGTAGATATGGGTATGACGTATGATGAACTTTCAGTGTATGGAAGATTGCGTAAAATTTTCCGCTGTGGACCCGTATCAATGTTCAAGGTTTGTCCTCTTCGTTCTGTTAGCCATTATGGCTTCAGACTTGCTGTGGGATCATTTTTCTAATGTCTAAATTCCATAGTCTTTGATAAATTACTGAATGATCTTATTGCAGAATTTGTGTTACAAATGGGGTACAAAGTTGACGCCTGCAGAGGTGGCTGACAAAGTGAAATACTTCTTTAAATATTATTCCATCAATAGACACAAGATGACTGTACTAACCCCTTCATATCATGCCGAGGTACTTCACTTTTGTGTTTCATGGATCCTTTACTTGCTTTGAAGTGTCTAAGTCTGTTATAGGTACTTCTCAGGTTTCTTTTAAAGTACATACAAAATAAGAAAAAAGCATACAAATGCCCATATGGGGAAACTTATACATACCCGTATCAGATACTTACTCGTTCCTGTATCCATGTCAGTTAAATCCAGATAGCCAGAGCCGGTAGAAAGGATCAAAACATTGTAATGTTTTTGTTCTGTGAGTTTCATTAGAGAAGCATCATCATCATCTACACATTGGAGCGGTCGGCTATATGAATCCTCACGGGTTATATCGCTCCATTTAAGCTCATCTTAGACTGATATTATACAAAGTAAAGTAAAAATAAAAAGTACTATAAATTCGATATGTTTTCTAATTGCGTATAAATCATGTATGACATCGTTGTTCCATTAGTGATGCATATAACGTTTTTCGTCTTGCAGAGTTATTCGCCCGAGGACAATAGGTTTGATTTGCGCCAGTTCTTGTACAATGTCAGATGGCCTTATCAATTTCGCAAGATTGACGAACTTGTGAATGAGCTTGATGGTGATAGAGTTGCTATTACAAAATCAACTGAGGGGGAAAAGGTCAATGTTACGGCTGATGGTGGGATGGGTGTTGTGGCAGCAGGCTCGGGTGATCCGAGGGCTGGCTTCTAATTCTTGCTGAGGTTTTCCATTGGTATTTGTTCTATGCACAAAGCTTTTTTCATGTAACATTTGATCTTCGTGCATATTTCGTGGATTATGAGAACTTGTGATAGAAAACCTTCTAGCAGCTTTTCATTTTGAAGTTTTATATTTGCCATGAGTGCTTTGAGTCTTCTGAAGGTTTATATTAGTAATTCATACAATTCAGGCTTTCAAAGTTTTTGCTCTCGACGATCTCGCTAGAACTCAACTAGGACTGCAAGAAATGAGCAATACATAATGAAATCTAACCCAGCATGGAAACACAAATAGAATTTGAAGGTAACTGGCACCACCAACAATAAAATATGAACTGCTTTTAGGGAGCTTAGACTATCAATCAAGCATAATGCATTGCTTCTTAGGAGCCAAAAATATAGTTGTGAGTAGTGTCAAAATGGTTAAAAGAAAACAGTTATCCACTCATATTATCTATTAAAATTAAAATATGGGTTGGATAATGAACTTTTTAAAAACGGGTTGAATATGGATAAGAATTATATTATCCACTTTGAAAATAGATAACCAATCGGTTTAATTTTATATTTGTAAAGCCTCAAATTGGGGGTTCCTCAAATTTAGGAGACTGCGAATTCTTCCCGAAGTGATCATATTCAAGAAGCCATAGATAATATGGATATTCATATTATCTGTCGGTCAACCCAATTTTTTATCCTTATTAAATATAGGTGGTCGGATAATTTATCCATTTTTGCATTCTATTTTCGACTCGTTTATATCTGACCCGATCTGTCAGTTTGCTACCCTACTTGTGAGGGCAGCAATAAGTATGCTCCAATCACCCAACTGATCGATAAAGGTTCAAGAGGCACATCATCAAAAGAATAAATGAGTGGAAGAGAACAAATTGGGGAGAAATTCAAAAATAGTCAGATTTACAAGTGGTCATTAAAAAAATAGTCACAATTTCAAAAGTAATCGAAATTTAGACACTTTTCATGTAAAGATAAATTTGAACGAAAACGCTATTCAAAATCCGGAAAATACTCTAGTATAATATACTGGAATTCCAGTATAATAGTATAATATACTGGAGTTCCAGCATAAGTATACTGGAGTTCCAGTATATATACCGGTCCAGCATAATATGTTGGAAGTTCATATACAGGTGCTCCAATCTCCAGTATATTATGCTGGAACTTTCCGTGTGTTGGAGTTCCAGCATAATATGCTGGAAGTTCATACACAGGTGCACCGATCTCCAGTATATTATGATGGAATTTTCTATATTGCAGCAAAATAATGGCTATTTTTCAATGACTTTGCAAATACTGGCTATTTTGAATGACCAGTCTAAAAACTGGCTAGCCCGTGCTATTTTTACAACAAATTGTAAAAAGAAAGTATAGCCCAAATCAAGAGAGAACAACCTTCTGCACTAATTGATTGGAAACAGAAAACAAAATTCATGTAAAAATCATAATGCATGTCAAAATCAGGTGCAATTACACATGCACATAAAATTTGTAGCAAGAAATTATTCAAAAGAATTGTAAACTATATATGCTCCAAATTGTCATCACCAACAGAAATTCAATAAATAAAGAAAGATGCTCAGTAAAAGTACACGCGTCTGTTTAATTCTCAAAAGAATGATGTCCATTTACCCTTTAATAAAAAAAATATATTATATACACAATATATATATATATATATATATATATATATATGCGCATGTATTCTTTGCTTAAATTTATTTGACGTCCTACTAACTGAGAGATACTTGTAACGTGCAATTAGAGGTGGCAAAATAGTTAAAAGAAAACAGTTATTCATCCATATTATCCATTAAAAAATAGGTTGGATAATGAACTTTTAAAAACGGGTCGAATATGGATAAGAACCATATTATCCACTTAAAAAATGATTAACCAAATGGATAACCAATGGATAACTAATGTGTTTAACTTTTACATTTGTAAAGCCTCAAATTGGGGGTTCCTCTAGTTTGGGAGACTAAGAATTCTCCCATAAAGTGATCATATTCAAGAAATCATGGATAATATGGATATCCATATTATCCGCCGGATAACCTATATTTAAACGGCTCAAATACGATTCGGGTCGGATAATTTATCCATTTTTTGAATTATCCGTTTTCGACCCTCTCATATCCGACCCGACCCGCTCGTTTGTCACCCTACGTGCAGCTTACATATCCAGCTATGTTCTTGAGTTTGTAAACACTATTAAAAGAAAATTTTGATACGTGAAATAACCACAAATTAGACAAGGATTATCAAGGGTTATTGTTTTTAAGTGTATGTTCAACTTGCAAGAGTTAAATGCCAATCATCCAAGGATATGCAAGGGTTATTGTTTTATAAGTGTATCTGCGTATGTACTATAACTTAATTAAGAGTTACGTTTATCTTGATTCGTTATCCAATTTGCCCTGTGGTGGAGTTTAAGGCTTAACAATAGTTAATTTGGTACCTATAAAAAAGGGGCTGACTTTGAGCTAGCTCAGACACACTGTTATAAAAATAATAATAAAATGGTGTTTGGAAGGAATTAAATTGGGAAATAAGTTCAACGCATCTAATATTTAAAATGGATAATCATACACTAAACAAAATGTCAAGAGTTGTATTTAACAGAGATTTAAGTAACATACAAGTAGTTCACCAAGAAGGGAAACATTGTTCCACGAAAATCTTCACCTATAAAAAACTAAGCGAACTCGTGCTTTAACAATTGACAAAACTTGCACTAACCCTCACCTCAACCTATTCTATATCCTCATTTCATGCATCTTTTCAGCAGTGTCAATGGAGATTTTTCAGAATAGCTTACAGCTCATCATGGCCGTCTTCTTCTTCTTCCGATGAACCACCACCTGGGGCTCCACCTGATCTTTGATAAACAGCTGTGATAATTGGGTTGCAGATTGCCTCTACCTCCTTAAGCTTCTCTTCGTAATCCTCTTTCTCGGCGCTTTGGTTGTCGTCTAGCCATTCGAGGGCTTCTTTTGTTGCTGTTTCAATCTTCTCCTTCTCATCAGACTCCAGCTTGTCAGCTAGCTTGTCCTTGTCGTTGATCTGGTTTTTCATGTTGTACACGTAGGTTTCAAGACTGTTACGGGCATCAATTCTCTCCTTCACCTTCTTGTCTTCCTCGGCAAACTCTTCTGCTTCACGAACCATACGCTCAATCTCTTCTTGGCTTAAGCGGCCCTTGTCGTTTGTAATGGTAATCTTCTCGGATTTACCAGTGCCCTTGTCTTCTGCTTTGACATTCAAGATACCATTGGCATCAACTTCAAATGTCACCTCAATTTGTGGGGTTCCCCTGTTCAAAACAATGTCAAAAATCCAATTCAGATACCAATAGGTTTCCAAAATGTAATGTACAATAACTAGAAGAAGAAATGTAACAGACCTTGGAGCCGGGGCAATTCCTGTCAGATCAAACTTTCCAAGCAGCCTACAGTCCTTAGTAAGACTCCTTTCACCTTCAAAAACCTGTCATCAACAGTGAGAATTGAAACATACTAGAGGACAAATTAAAGAATATTTCTAAAACTGTGAGCTAATTACGATTGCACAAACTTGAAGCAAAGCAATACCTGAATGGAGACGGTGGTCTGCTGGTCTTGGTAAGTGGTGAAGACTTGGGACTTCTTGGTTGGGATGACGGTGTTCCTAGGAATCAATTTGGTCATGACACCACCAACAGTTTCAATACCAAGGGTGAGAGGAGCGACATCCAGGAGAAGAATATCTGCACATAAGAAACATGCGACAATCAATCACTAAAAGCTGCTAACACATCATAAACAACACCGAAAAGCAAATTATGACAAGAAAACTAATTAGATCATGTACCTTTAGTTTCATCTCCACCCTCTCCACTAAGGATACCACCTTGAACAGCAGCACCATAAGCAACTGCCTCATCAGGATTTACACCCTTGTTGGGCTCCTTCCCGTCAAAATAGTCCTTCAGGAGCTGTTGCACTTTAGGAATTCTGGTGCTTCCACCAACAAGAACTATCTCATCAATCTGGTTCTTCTCTAACCCAGCATCTTCCATAGCCTTCTTCACGGGTCCCATTGTCTTTCTGAAGAGATCATTGTTCAACTCCTCAAAGCGAGCACGGGTCAATGGTTCAGAGAAATCAGTACCATCAAATAGTGATTCAATCTCAACCCGGACTTGGTGCTGGCTACTCAGGGCTCTCTTGGCACGCTCAGCTTCTCTCCTTAGCTTTCCAAGAGCTCTGTTATCCTTGCTGATGTCCTTACCATGCTTCTTCTTAATCAACTTGATGAAGTACTCCATAATCCTTTGATCAAAGTCCTCACCTGCAACAAAATATGGAGCCTTCAGAACAAAATCTAAGAAGGATTATCTCATAGGATGAAAGTTATCAAGCTTCCTCATCGACTTGAAGTATGCGAATCTATTCCATTTTCCAATACGCAGTGTCAAAACCCAAATCAGACCTCAGCTATCATAACAGATTCCAAAAAATTGACACACTAATGTGCAATCAGTAATAAAATCAATTTTATTCATTAAGGTTAAGTTGTGAGCCCATCAAACACTACAATCAGGACATCCTAACAGCCCTATGGTTAACAGTGGTGTTCTTGGTAATAAAAGTGTAGACCGTAGTATATCTCAAATTTCAATTGTTAGATATCTAAAGATCCTTACCTCCAAGATGGGTGTCACCGTTGGTAGAAAGAACCTCAAACACTCCATTATCAATGGTCAGAATACTGACATCAAATGTCCCGCCACCAAGGTCAAAGACAAGAATGTTCTTCTCACCACCTTTCTTGTCCAGTCCATAGGCGATGGCTGCAGCTGTTGGCTCGTTAATAATTCTAGCAACATTTAATCCAGCAATAACGCCAGCATCCTTTGTTGCCTGTCTTTGTGCATCATTGAAATATGCTGCAGAGAGAAAAGAGAGTAACACTCAGTCATGAAGGAAAAAAAGAAAACCAAAAATTGAGCAGTGGGAACTTGATTACAACATACCAGGAACAGTAACCACAGCATCCTTAATTTTCTTCCCAAGGAATGCTTCAGCTGTCTCCTTCATTTTTGTCAAAATCATGGCACTGATTTCCTCAGGACTAAATACCTTAGTTTCTCCATCCTTGATTTTGACTTGTATGTAGGGCTTACTATCCTTGTTTACAATCTTGTATGGGACCAGCTTCATATCCCTCTGTACTTCCTTGTCCTCAAACCTGAAATTATGGTAAAGTATCTCTAAGCATAATAAAGAGACAATCATATGAAAACATATGAAACTAATTGAAAATTGACCATTACTTTCTTCCAATAAGCCTCTTAACATCAAAGATAGTCCTTTCAGGGTTGACAGCTGCCTGGTTCTTTGCAGCCTCACCAATCAACCTCTCACTATCAGTGAATCCAACCCATGATGGTGTAATACGGTTTCCTTGGTCATTAGCTATAATCTCAACGTGACCATTCTTGTAAACACCGACACAAGAATAGGTTGTCCCAAGGTCAATTCCAATAACTGTTCCAAGTTTGGTAGCCTCCTCTTTTGCAATGGAAAGTGCAGAAAGACATCCTGTTTCAGGGTAAAGTAAGATCATAAATGACACTCGTTAGACTCAGTAAGTCATATTTGAAACACATTAGATAACACAGCAGAAGGAATATATGTATGCATGTGTGTGTGTACTATCTATCGATCAACCAATCAACTATGCCTCGTTCGTAAATCAATCACAAATTAGTTTGGTTTAGCTATATATATCATTTGTACCTATTCCACTCAACTCGGGTCCATACATGCTATTCAGTAGAAATAAAGGGCCATACAACTTTGATAAGCTAACAACATAAACCAACAGCTTTTTAGCATATTTAAAGTTTCATTCAGCTAAATAAAAAGTGTCAAGTATAAGTATCCATAGGGATCTGACAACAACCCTTACAAATGTGCATCCATATCCACAGGCCATATATTCATCCCAAGACAGTAGCATTCCATCAAGTATAAATTTGAAATACCTATAGTAAAAAAGTTGTTTTGCTAGTAAAGTTCAGGGATATGTGCAATTTGAACGTGACAGTAGTAACTCAAATTGGATACATGGACTATACACACATAATACATACACGCGTACACTAAGTACAAACATCGTATATCAGCATCTAATTACATGATGTTACTCTACAATATTTATTACTCAAAAAGAAGACGTAGTATCATAAGAAGTTATCTAAATATTTATTCCTTATGACGGTAGCACCCGAGCCAACTTACGAATACCTCAGCTATTTTTCAGTAAAATTAATTTGGCTTACGAATACCTCAGCTATTCTACTTGGTACCTGCTAGGCACCTCAAACTATTCTACCTAGTGCCTGCTAGTTCAGCGCCGATACCGGTAACTTTGCTCATGGGAAGAAATCATTTGGTGTCCATATTTAAAAAGAGTATAGCACCTAAACCTCTAGTTTCATTCCGAGTGCAACATTGTTTCCACTTAATAAAAACCACGAACATCAGAAATTCTCAATTAAACTTTAAATCTATCAATCTACCGTGCTTCAATCCATCATAACACATGAAACCTTGACGATTCTATTCCAGTACTAACTCAATTTCTATTAAACTTAAATCAACGAAAAAAAATAAGCCATAAAAATCCTCAAACAGATCCGAAATTGCAAAAAAACTATCATCAGATCCAGAATTACCCATCAAACATGCAAATCTACTAACACATACATTATACATAAAAGCTAACAGATCTAGTCTACTACATTTCACCATTACATTAAACATAACAAAACAAGCTTAAATTTTTTTTAAAATAAACAAAAAATAAAAACAGATCTACGAGCAAATCGAAACGGCGAATTTACCGAATAGGACGATCGCTAGCACGACGAGAGAACTTCCTCGCCTCAAATAGCCAGCCATGGCTTTTAACCGTATCAACGTACAATACACTCTGCTATATGTACAACACAATGTGTTCGTTAAATATGTATGTATATTATGACCCGTTGCAAGTCCTCAGTTGTGAAGGCTTGAAGAAATGACGTGAAAATTTGGTGATGGAGGATTTTATACTGTGAGGAACTGAAGAGAAAGTGGAGCTTTGGGCTTTCGATCGATAGCCGAAAGTCTCGCTTCAACGAGTGAAATGAAACATGTCATTGTTGATGACGTGGACCAATAGGAAGTGGAGGATGAACTTGTTGCGCCAATGACGATTGATTTTGTGTTGGGATGATCTAGGCCGTTAATTTCTTTTCTTGGAACGTGGCTCAGTTAGGTTATTTTGATTGATTGGATTTATTTCATATATTTGTGTCATAGGCCTTCACTTCCAACCTCCATTACCATAATGGTAAGCAACCTCCACTTCCAACAAAAGGTTGTGAGTTCGAGTCTCCCAAGAGCAAGGTGAGAAGTTTTTGAAGGGAAGGATACCGGGGTTTCTATTTGGAAACAGCCTCTTTATCCCAGGTCTTTATCATATCATACTATATTATAAGCGGGAAGTCGTTTAATGTAAAGTTAATTTATTAAAATATCCTTCAAAAGTTAAATGACTAATTTACCCTCTATCTAAAAGTAAAATTACCTCTCATTAAATGATTAATTTGAGCTACTTAATGTTAGGTTAATACTTAAATGGAAGAGCTTTTTATCTTCTATAACTACTCCCAACATTTTGATATGTTTAGTATGCCGTGTAGCCTTTTCATGTAATGTGTGAATTTTATCTTACACTTTATTAGTAATAAATTGTAGCCTTTTAAGCTTACCTTCTCTTATTAATTCCCATTGATCAATTCTTTTTCTCATTCCTTTTTAGAAATTTCACTGCAGTTCTTAGAGTCTCTTCAAATTGTTAAAGCCCCTTTGAATCATTTCTCTCGTAGATACAATTTTTTTGGTTCTTTATCTTTCGAGTGTCTCCCATTTCGGATTGACAAGAGGTTTGATAGTAGGCTATATAATTGATATTTACATCTTAATATGATCATATTTTGTTGTTGTTTTATAGATAAATTGCCAACAAAATGCTCTAAATACTTTTCTTTTGTTTAGCATGGAATATTATATGAGAGGAAGCAACATTAAGTGTTTTAGAGGCGATAATGTGAAGAAAAACGTCCACTCGAGAATTACCCGAACACAAAGAAGCATAAATGGCCTGGGCAAGAAGTTTCTTTTTCAATTAGTTAAAGATTCAATTTTATGTGATTTTTTCAGAACTTTTGCTAATGGGCGAAAGTATTTGTATTGTTTTTAGGTATTTTGGAGAAAGATGTTGGAAGAATTCATCACCGGTAGTTTAGTATATATTATCTGTTTGTCTCTTCTTTTTCTTTCTTTCTGCTTTGGCTTTAATTCCTTCTGTTAGATTTTTAGTTTTATTCTTTTTGTTTGTTACGTATTTTTCGTATTTGGGATTTTGCGTATTTTTTGACTTACTTAAATGAATGAATTGAAAATCGCTTTGTGAATTTTTGCAAATTGGTTCTTAGATATGTATATTCTGCTTTTGAATGTTTTAAGATTATTGAGAAAATTAGGGTTGAGATTGAAGAGTTTGGTGCCAAATATTGGTAATAATCATTTTTCTTTTACTCTTATTATTATTATTTCGATTTTGTCTTTGGGTTTGGTAGGAGTGAAATGTTAAGGGGTGGGGTTGGGATTGAACCATCCTAAAGCAAAGTTGGTAAATAGTATATTGTAGAAATATTATTAATTTTTGACATGTTCAAGTTTTAGACTAATAAAAAAATATCTAATTATTGTAACTTCTAATCAATTGATTGTCATGGGGTTTCCTTTTGATAAAACTAAGGTCAATCAACGATAACCAATAGTTTTTTCTTAGGGAATTTTTCATAAACCACCATCTTTTAAGTCTAATTAGCCATTTATAGATACTCTTTGCTATATTACGTGTTATAAATACATTTTATGTTTTTATACAATGTATTTTATGTAATTAGCTGTTGTATTTTATGGCATTAACGTTAAATACAGAAGGTTAAACTGGTTAAAAATGGAAGGAAATCAAATCACATGATATTCTCCTAATTTAACTCCACGAACTAAGGAAATCAAATCACTCCTAATTTAACTCCACGAACTAAGGAAATCAAATCACATGATATTCTCCTAATTTAACTCAACGAACTAAAACAATCCCTCATTAATCTGTATTTGAAAGATACGTAATAAAGATTATAGCTGAATAAAGAGAAATACATATGAATAATACAGTTGAATAGAACTGTATACAGTTGAATACAACAAAATACAACTTAATTCATCTGAATAAAACACTTGAATACAACAAAATACAACTGAATACAGCTGAATAAAACTCTTGAATGTAACAAAATACAACTAAGTTCTGCTGAATAAAATAGTTAAATACAACTGATTAAAACTGAATACAAGAGAATACACATAACTTTTTAATACATCTAAAATATATGAATTAATGCTACTAAATACATGTGAATACAACTGAAATATACATTCGAATACAACTGAATACAAATAGGTGATTTGGGCGATCTAGAGAGAGTAGCAGCCTGATGGCTTGGCCGGCCGGCGGCCAGCCATTAATTCCGGCTGGTCAGCCCCTTAACACATCTGCCCAACCTCCTACAACAACTACAAACAATCTCCAACCCTCAAATCCCACAAACGAAGCCATGAATTACGCAAAAGCTATGAACCCTACTTCAACGACCACTGCCAAGCAGACTCGAGCCGCTACAGTTGAACCAATTGCTCTTCGTCTATCAAAATCAACGAACTAAACTTACCCTAGGCGATTGTAATGGAGTGATAATGAGGAGAACTAGAGAATTTGGGTGGGAGGAGAGGTATGAATCGTGGGTTGAGGGAGAAAGAGTAAAGTGTATGCAAAAAGAGAGAGAACGTGATTAGTCAATTTTACTGTGATTATGTGAGAGAAAAGACTAAAAAAGAGAGAGAGAAATATTATTTAGCATATATAGTGCCTTAAATGTAGGATGTAACTATAATTAGATATTTGGCTATAAAGTATAAAAGGTATCTATAGGATGTAATATTTTAAAATGGTATTTATTTAAAATAAATAGGGTACTAAGGTTTTCTATAGGGTGTAAAAATTCCTTTTTCTTAAGAGCAGAAAAGCCCAATAGTATAAAAGTTAAATTATTAAAAGTCCTTGAGATTATTAATTTTCAGGAATTACACTTTATTTGCATTAATATTTTCGAGTGGAAGAAGCTAAAAGATATTATTCAAATCCGCCATAACTGTGATATTTCTCATATTAAAGATATTAAAATTCCATCTTCTTAGATTGTGCAAGCTTGCAACGTTAAAGCTTGACTTTTCATGTTGTTTCCTCGTAGAAGTAGGTCATAAAATGAATAAAATAACGTTACGAACAATATGAATACGAGTTAGTACATTACACTATTTTGTCTCAACTTCTAAATCAAACAAAAGGTAAGGATAATTCATTTTTGAGTTGGGAATGGGCAGGGCAAGAAAGTAACAATCATATCCGATATTAGACAATTTTATTTTTTTCTTTAATTTTTGTTTACAACTCAAAAATACTTTTCAATAATATCTACGCAATGTTATAATGTAGTCATTCTAATAGACATGTTCATCAATTTCGACTTGCACTTTTCTACTTCAAATTTTTTATTGTTACACTACAATATGATTTTTATAGTTTGCGCTATTTGATACGGAATGCACGTACAACGCACGTGTTCAGAAACTAGTAATAATATTAAAGGGAAAAGGGTCAAAATTACTTTAAACTATGCAAAATGAGACAGATACCTCAATTAATAATTGAGGTTAAACATACCCTTGTCGTTATTAAAACGGGTCAATTTTACCCTTATCCTTAAATCAAGTGCTTTCGGTGTTTTGTGTAGTAAGAGATACCATCAAAACTTAAAGGTAAGTTTTACATAATGATGGTCAGACCGACTATGTTGTATGAGTCTGAGTGTTGCCCATTCAAGAGCAAACATGTCTAGAAGATGAAGGTAGCAGAGTTGAGGATGTTGAGATGGATACAATGGCACACCGGGTTAGATAGGATTAAGAATGAAGTTATTCGCGACAATATATATGTGGCCCCTATTAAAGACATGATACGGGAAGCGGGACTTAGATGATTAGGACATGTGAGGAGGACAAGCACAAATGCCCCGGTGAGGAGGTGTGAAAGATAGGGGTGTCAATGGATATTCGAAAACCGACTAAACCGACCGAACTGTACCGCACCGAACCGAACTGATTTTTAGGTTTCTTTTTAAGAAATCGTAGGTTTTTATATAAATCTATAATTGCACCGATAATTAGGGTAGATTTTTTATTTTATAAAAATACCGAACCGTACTGAATAAATTTTATATGTGGAAAATATATTTATTTAGTAACTTTAAAAATAATAATGCATTAAATTCTCTTTGGGCCTTGGAATTATGAAAATTATTACAAGCCAACAAGTAATTAAATTCAAAATACTAATTCCTAAAACCTATTATGCTACTTCTACTTAAACTAAGTATTTCAAGTATCTTTATTAGCAAGACACAAAGTATTCTAGCGATTATGAGTAGCAAACTACAATGTAGTATTGAATATGTTTCCTTTCATATAATTCAGATTTATTTTTTTGAATATTTAATCTTCTATAGACTTTATTCTTGAGTCTCAACTTGGTATATCTTTCAACTAGTATGATTTATATTTTCTTTGTCTTTATTTGATTTCTTTTACGTTGTTGAAGTATAGCTGATGGATCTATACTCTAGCCATCTTTCTTTTCTTTTTTTAATTCATCATCCTTTAAACAGTAAAAATGTCTATAAAGTTTTGTTAAGTCCTATAAAAGAACGTGTATGTTATTGCATTCTACGTCTACTGGTGAATTTTACATGATATTAAAAAAATACCGAAAATTAACCGAACCGTACCGATACCGAAGAGAAACCGATATGATTGGGACGGTTTCAAAAAGTTTAATTTTGGTTATACATAATAGAATAACAGAAAAATTGTTGTGGTACAAATTTTATAAAATAACCGGCCGAACCGAACCATTGACACCCCTAGTGAGAGGTTGGCATAGGAGGGCCTAAAAAGAGGTAGAGTGTAGGCCAAAGAAGTATTGGAGAGAGGTAATCAGACAAGACATGGCATATCTCCAGCTGAACGGAGATATGGCCCTTGATAGAAAGGTGTGGAGGTCAAGGATTAGAGTGGTAGGTTAGGTAGTCTAGCGTTTTCCTTATTCATACCGGTAGTATTAGTACGTACTCTCTTACTTTATTGGTATTAGGTTTCTATGACTACCTGTCATTTTTACTAGTACGGTCAATATACGATCTTGTTGTTATTTATGCTGCTTATACAAGCTTCTCGTTGTTATCCCTTCTTGTTTTTCTTTTCATTAATGTTGTACTTATGCTTTTCTGAGCCAAAGATCTATTGAAATAACCTCTCTATCTCCACAAAATAAATGTAAGATTTGCGTATACGTTATCTCAAATCCTACTATGTGGAGTTATACTGGGTAGGTTATTCTAGTTTTTAAACAAAAGGCAAATTTGAACTTCTTGCATAATATAGGGGCAAATGTGACCATTCTCCCTTTATAAAACTTTCGAAAATAAAGATCTTGAAAAACAACATTAAAGAAAAGAAGAATATTACAAATAAAGAGAGAGAATTCTATTGATTTTGAGAGATAATTTACAATAGGATAAAATCCTTCTATTTACAGGGGAAAAGTGACTCAACCACAGAGCAACAAACTATTTAAAAGATAGACAATCACCTACAATACAATTTTATTTATAACACTCCCCCTTGAATGTCTATTCAACAGATAATGTGCCTCGTTAAAAATACTAACTAAAATAAAACTCAGTAGAAAAAAGTTCTAGTGAAGGAAAAAAGTACACATATTTAGAAATAGGACAAAACCATATAAGGGAAAAAGAGTACAACGCGTATTAACTCTCCCTGATGAGAGCATCAATGCGCATCTTTGAGCCTTCACATCCTAATCTTGTACATTGGCTTCTTGAAGGTTGACGTCGGTAGATATTTGGTGAACAAATCAACCATATTATCACTTGAATGAATCTGTTTCACATTAATACCACCATTCATTTGAAGACCATGTGTGAAAAATAACTTTTGTGAAATGTACTTTATCATATCTCCTTTTATGAATCCTCCCTTCAATTGGGCTATGCATGTTGTATTGTCTCATATAAAGTTGTGGGTAGTTTGTCACACTTCAAACCGTATTTTTCTCGAATAAGATGTATTATTGACCTCAACCACACACATTCTTAACTTGTTTCATGAATAATAGTTATCTCATCATGATTAGATGAAGTAGCCATGATTAGTTGCTTAGTGGATTACCAAGATAAGATTGTGCCTACACATGTAAACACATAGCATGTTTGAAATCGAGCCTTGTGTGGATAAGATAAATACCCATCATCGACATACGAGATCGAAACTACAATCGTTTTTATAAAATAAGCTCATATCGGTAGTACTTTCTTAATATCACAATGTGTGTTTGATTTCATTCAATGTCTCATTGTAGAAACAGGGCTAATCTTGTTGAGACAAATTGAAAAATTTATGTCAGGCCTTTTAGTATTAGCAAGATATATTAGTGCACCAATTGCATTAAGATATGGTACTTCAAGACCAAGAAGATCTTCATTCTTTTCTTGAGGTCGGAACGGATCCTTATTCATATCAAGTGATCGAACAACCATCGGAGTACTTAACGGATGTGCTCCACCCATGAGATATTCAAGATTATTCTCCCCCCACCCCCCCAAAAAAAAAATTAAATAAAAAATATGAGCTATGTCCATTTATAAGTAGTTTATTACAAAAACTGGCCAATTTATAAAATATTATTAATATTAGCAAAATAAAAAGTCAAAATTTTGCTTTATTTTGAGTGAGTGTTATTAGAATAGATTGAGTACACCTTAAGGAGCTTGAATCTCAGTTTTGGGATGATTTGGTAGAGTTTTGAGGTGGTTTGAATTGAAAATTAGATGTAGAAGATGAACACGAAAAAAATTATGTGTATCACATTGTGTATCACTTATGTATCAAATGTGTATCACATGTATATCTATGTTTACCTGCGTGTGAGATGCATGCGTAATACATGTGTCGCAGAAGAATTCTTCGAACTCGATTTTAACTATGTATTTTGATAGCAAATCAGTCAAAATTACCTCCAATCTTCCTTAAATTTTGTAGACTGATTCATCTATATATTTTCAATGAATCTCAACCATACTCATTGAAAAAAGTTCATTTTTTCGCTTAGATTTTTGGAATCTTCTATATATTATTTTTTGTATTTCATCACTTTATTTGCTATCTCGTCCATAAAATTTTCTTTCCGTCTTTCATTTAATGTTGCTAATCACGTTTGAAAATATAGAAGAAGATCTTTGTGTATGATACTTGAAAAGAAAGAATCTTATTTCTTTGAATTTTTAATTTTTATATATATTCAACTAGTTTTGATAAATCTATGATTAATGACTAAATGTTGGTAAGTTAGACTTTTTCAGGACATTTATGAAAGATTCCCAAAAATAAATAGAAAATGTAGTCTCTCTTCTATTCTCCTTTTTCTCGATTGGACCCGAACTTGGCCCCCACTAAATTCGCGGTCCAGAATAAATGTTTACTGGTTCCAACTAGTAAGTTGTAAACACTCATCATTAATTTTATTTGCTAAAAGAAGAAAATAAACGTGCGAAAAATAACTGTGATTGCAAAATCTTGAATGTTTAAATTAGGAGTTTGTGGTTAGTGGTGGATCAAATTTCATTAAAGTGTTAATCACACGATATTGAAGTTAAAGTTCAACAACAACAACAACAACCCAGTATAATCCCACTTAGTGGGGTCTGGGAAGGGTAGTGTGTACGCAGACCTTACCCCTATCCTGTGGTAGAGAGGCTGTTTCCAAATAGAGTGGTTAGTGGTGGATCAAATTTCATTAAAGTGTTAATCACACGATATTGAAGTTAAAGTTCAACAACAACAACAACAACCCAGTATAATCCCACTTAGTGGGGTCTGGGAAGGGTAGTGTGTACGCAGACCTTACCCCTACTCTGGGGTAGAGAGGTTGTTTCCAAATAGAAACCCGACATCCTTCCCTCTAAGAACTTCCCACCTTGCTCTTGGAGAGACTCGAACTCATTACCTCTTGGTTGGAAGTGAAGGTTGCTTACCATCAGAGCAACCCCTCTTGCCTTATTGAAGTTAAAGTTAATAGTTTCAATTTACAACTTAATCTTTAATAAATACTATAAAAGATTTTAATCTCCCCAAACTCTAAAGTCGCCCATAAATAAAATTATTGTCATATATGAAGTTTAACCATCATTACCCTCTTCTCATATTTTCCAAAATTATAATTAGGATTATAATCTTACTTTTTATATGGGATAAATAATAAGTATCGAGTTTAATAATTTATTATTGGTTTGACTAGTATTAATAATCAAATGGCGGATAAATATAATCCCAAATTTAACGTCGAGATTAGGGTACGAATACGATCCCAAGCATTTGTCTCATACTACTGAAAAAATAATTTTTTGTAGCCTTTTTGTTATATATTCCGCAAAAACTTTATTTCGACCCAGCCCTAAAAGATATTTTTTTGATTAGTTTTGAACTTTTGAAAAAAACAAAAATTCTGATTTACTTTTAACAAAAACTGCTTTCCAAATTTCTGCTTTAACCAAAAAATTTTGATTCCAAAAATAAATAAACAAATACTCCTACATAATAAAATATAATATATAATAAAATTAAAAGAAAAGTAAAAAGGTTCAATCTGAATAGTGATGAAAACTAGCTCACAGTAAGTAGCTCCAGTACAACAGCGGTTAAAATTTTACCTAAAAAATAATACACTTTTAAAAAACCCATTTCCAATCCCTAAAAAGCTTTCAACTTTCAACAATGGCGATCACTTCGCCATCGGCTCCGACTTTCTCGGCGTCTCTCTGCTGCACTCGCACTGACTCAGCCGCTGTTCCAGCTCGTTCACTCAAATCCTCGCCGATCCAAACTAGGTTCCAGAATCGCCGATTCACGTTATCCTGTCGGCTTGATTCATCTTCCTCCGTACCTTCTAATGGCTTCGACGGCGATCTTCAGTACGAACTTCAGCATGGAAGCGTTTCGACTCACTATCGCCGGCGAGGTTCACCGGTGTTCGTCACGCTTCCGGTTGATGCCGTCAGCTTACCGGCAGGGATTATGAAGAGGAAGAAGGCGATGGCGCAGTCGTTTCGTGCTTTGGCGGCGGCGGGAGTTGAAGGAGTTGTGATGGAGGTGTGGTGGGGGCTGGTGGAGAGGGAATTGCCCAGGGTTTATAATTGGCAAGGGTATTTGGAGATTGTGGTTTTGGCTAGACGATGTGGTTTGAAAGTTCGAGCTGTAATGGCTTTTCATCAGTGCGGTACTGGGCCTGATGATCCCTTCTGGTTGGTACACTTTCAAAAGTTCAATCTATTACACGCATAAATGACATTTGTTTTGCTTCCTCGTTCAGACACGTTTAGCTTTGTTTTGTTTTGAAAAGGAAACATATTTCTCAAAACACAATATATTATCTTAAAGAATAGAATGTCTATCAACAATAAGTAGGCCACTAGGCCTCAATCCCAAACAAGCTGAGGCTGGCTATATGAATCCTCACTGACCATATTTAAGCTCAATTCATGCCTAAGAATAGAATGTCTATCTTTAAAAAAAGATGGAATGTCTATCTACTACAAGTGTTTCACATTATTGACTGCTGCATTAATTTAGTTGCATTGCATTTGCCATTCATTGGTTGAACTTTTTGAACAATATTTGCCTGTAGTGTGATCAAAGTGTACGCTTGAATGTGTCTCTTTTGGTGGTCTAGTAAGTTTGCAATTTGAATTGTAATTGAGTAGATTTTTTGTGTTCTAGCAAAGCATTAGGGCTTACTTGAGGGTGTTTACGTGGGTAAATGAAGTTTATGGATTGTATGATTCTGAATATTGGAAACAGTACTTAGGTGTTTGTTATATTCACCTTATATAGCTCAGACACCTTTACTTAGTTTTAGTAATGGCATTTTGGAATGTAGTAAGAGAAGCTGCTTGGACTGTCTTGGAGTTAGATTCGACCCATATAATGTCCTTGGTATGGAACAAGTTAGCATTCTTATTTAGTGGGATACACATTCAGAATGCTTAGTGCTATGAAAGAAAAGCTCAAGATCCTAAAGATATAAGCAAAAGGAATTTTGATTTGTTCAGCTGCATTTTAGGGATATTGCATTCCCATCTTGTTCAGCTGCATTTTGTTCAGCTGCAAGATCCTAATGATATTGCATTCCCATTTTGTTATCAGTTCTGTAGGCAAAGATCAAGATCACCCTAGTCTGAAGAATGTACTCATATATCTACCCATGCTACGTTCTGTTATCCTAATAAATATATCTGCCTGCTCTATATTGTTTTTCCTTTTGTTTAAAACCCAAGAGAGGACTAAGTATTGCATGGAATTACATACTGATTAAATGAAGGAAAAAGGAAAAAATCTTAATACTGATTAACGTAGTTATGCTAAAAGTTGCAATGACTAGGTTAATTATGTCATCATTGTGGTGGTTCTTTGTCGGCATCAGTAGAGAAGTGAGTTTGACGGTTATTTTGCTAGCAATGGCTAGCATTGTTTCCAGCTGGTTCTAGTCTGACTATGTTTGTGGGTAACTAAGAGAATATGGAGAGAAGTGTTTAGTTATGCAGAAGAACATTTAGCTTCTGATGGCCTTTTTCTGCAGCTGGTGAGTCACTGGAACCTCTGTATATCAACAATAGATTCAGCATTACAGAATGCTCTCTCCTCTGTTTGTAAACCTTGATTGGAAGTTGGAACTATAGTTGTTTAGCTTTTGTTGTTTTAGGGTACTTGCAGGAGGCAAACTATATTTCGTCCTAATCTAAAGTAAGAAGTCCTCACTGGGGCAATACTTTAGATTAGAGAGTTGATTTGTAATTTACGAAGGACTTGTTCTGGATCTTATTGCCAAAACATGGCGGGGTGGATTGGGAGAAAGTTTACAATAAGTTCTCATTGGGGAAAATTTGGATCGGTGTTGATTTTAATATATGTATGTATGGCTGACCCCAACTTGTTTGGTATTGAGGCGTAGTTGTTGTTGTTGTAGTAGAAGTTTTCAGGGTCTCGTTACCAAACATGGCCTGAATTATAAGATGAGTGTGAGCCTAAGTTTAGCTACAAATTGAAAGAAGAGCATGTGTGACACTGAGCCTGCTTTAAATTATCTTCCCCATTGCCTTAATTTGTGTGGAGGGTGAATGTCCAGAGTTAAGGAGTCCAAATGTAGGTCATGGATTGTGATGGCAGGCATGAGAACCTTAGGGTATCCATACAAACTTCACAGGTCATTTCTATGTGATGATACTACTTCAAAAAAACCAGATTATTCCTGTAAGATTGCCCTTCCAAATATACTAAGTTAACAGAAATGAAAATAGAACTTGATATATTCACTGGAACAGGGTGAAAAGAAATAATTGCGAAAGATCATTCATTTGGACAGAGAAAAAAGGTCAACATTACACAAGACGTGCCTCAATAGACTATTGTACAATATGGTTAAGCTCCAGGCATACAAATGGAAATATCTTTAAGTTTTAGAAAGTTAATGTTACAGGCTTTGTTTTGCCTAATATCTTCAATTCTGGAATGGGTGTGATGCATTACTTAGATACAACTGTTTCTGTCAGATTTCCTTATATTGAAAAGACAAAAACTGTCTAGCCAGATTTTGTGCCTCATCTTTTTTATGTTGTTTTGCCACCTTCAATTAAGCGTTGTGCTAGCTTGCTCTCTTCCCTTGGAAATGATCTCTGCTAGTGATTAATTCACAATCTGAATTTTTCTTCTTTATGCTGCTGCCAGGATTCCCCTTCCTCTGTGGGTTTCTGAAGAAATGGATAAAGATCCAGATTTAGCATATTCAGACAGGTTTGGGCGACGAAATATGGAATATATATCCCTAGGGTGTGATGTTCTTCCCGTTCTGCACGGACGATCTCCAATCCAAGCATATGCTGAATTTATGAGGAGCTTCCGTGACACCTTCAGACCATTTCTTGGTGGTGTCATAACTGTATGATGCTCACTTAATGCTTCACCTACTAATTTTAATGGTATTATACCTATGCAATTTGACTTTATGTTGCAGGGTATCCAAGTTGGAATGGGTCCTGCTGGTGAGTTAAGATATCCTTCATGCCCTTTACAGAAGCTGAGCTGGACATGGCGCTCACGCGAACTTGGCGAATTTCAATGCTATGACAAGGTGTGAAAGACTGACGTTATGTATCTCAAGTGATTTTTTCCTGTTATTCCTATCCAACCAAATTTGTGATTGTCTTCTTTTAAACTGGCAGTATATGCTTGCATCTTTAAATGCTTGTGCTGGGGAGAGAGGGATGCGTGAGTGGGCCAATGGCGGCCCTATTGGTGCCAGTAATTTAATGCAGGATCCTGAAAGCACAGATTTCTTCAAAAGTGACGGTTCTTGGAACACACCATATGGAGAGTTCTTCCTTGCATGGTATTCAGAGATGTTGCTGCTTCATGGTGAGAGGATTTGCAGGGAAGCAGAGACCACATTTCGTGGTCTTGAAGTTAATTTGACAGGCAAAGTGGCTGGGATTCACTGGCATTATGGTACACGGTCTCACCCGTCAGAGCTAACAGCTGGCTACTACAATACATCAATTCGAGATGGTTTCCTGCCAATTGCTCGCATGTTTGGTAGGTACGGTTTTACCATGTGTTGTACATGTTTCGAAATGCGGGATGCAGAAGAGCAGCAGATGAATCCTGTCAGTGGTCCCGAAGGTTTTGTAAAACAACTTTTGCTTGCTGCTAGGATATGTGACATTCCCCTGCAAGGTGAAAACACTGCAAGTAGCTTGGATGACGAATCATATCAACAGGTGTTAAGGATGTCTAAGTTCTATTCGGATGGTCCAGGAACACCTACCTTTTCATTCAATTTTGTCAGAATGGACAAGAACTTGTTTGAATATCGGAATTGGGTTAGCTTTACTCGTTTTGTGAGACTAATGGCAGATGTCAAAATTTTTCGAGCCAAGCTAGGATTTGGGGAAGGTGATATGCCGCTTTCATCTTTATCAGCATCCGCCACTGCTGGAGCAGTTCTTGCATACTAGCTAGAAACTTCAACCTATAGGCATTGCTTATGCTAATTGCGTATTCTCACCCTCCACAAGTCAAGGGTGTGTATATGTCTAGCATCTTGTGATCTATGATTGTGAATTGCGTAGCAAAAGCTTGGTCTATTTTGCGTAATTTTTTCTCTCCGTATACTGTAATGGTTCGCGATCAAGTTGAAAAGGGGTATTTCCTTGTATCATAACGGTGCCTTCCTATTATTTTTAGAATGGATGGCCTCTCTATTTCAGCTCAAAAGGTATATCTGTCAGGCAAGTTCAGTTAGAACAATTAACTCCTTTTAGTATTCTGATATGGTTGGTATTGCTGGGTCTTGTGACAAGGATAGTATATGACCAATATAATTAAGTGACATGAAAAACAATTTAAACAAATACAAGAAGGATATGTTATGTACTGACAGGTTAATTTGACAGTGTCTTCCAAATTTTTTGAGATGGATGGCCTCTATCAGCTCAGAGGTCTATCTGTTTGGAAAGATAATTCAGTTCAGTTAAAACAATCCACATTCCAGTCCTTTTTACACTTGTAGTAGGAGTGGTATTGCTTGGGCTTGTCTGAAGCATAAATAACTTTTATTTGTCAGTATAATTGACCGGTTGTAACATGTTACATATTCTCTTTTAAAATTATTATGTTTTTGTTTACTATAAACAGTAACATGCAAAAATGTTGTGATAAATTTGATAATGTATTTTTTTTTCTTTTTCACAGTGTCTAACAAACAGGGACGTGAGAAACGATTCCAATGACCCATGTTGTGCGAATCCTTTAAAAATGTTATCGCGCTCGTGTCAGATTTTTTAGAAAATGCAAGGCGTTTCCCTGCACCCATCAATGACATTGAGTAGTAAAGGTAATTGGTAAACAATGAATATTTAGTTAATTACAATAAAAAATTAAGTCATAACAACACTAATAATCATCGATCATTTAATTTAATTTAATAGTAATAGAGTTAAATACATTATCGACTGGAAATACAAGTTATTTCTCAAAAGTTTGTATGATAGATGAATATATTCATACCAACGAAAGATATGCGTACCTGTATCCGAGCAACATAGTAGATGACGTAATTTAATCTTTCGGAAATTTTTGAAAATGGTGACTAGTAGGGGTGGCAAAATATTTAAAAGAAAATAGTTAACCACCCATATTATCCATTAAAAAATGGATTGGATAATGAACTTTTTAAAACGGGTCAAATATGGATAAGAACCATATTATCCATTTAGAAAATGGATAAGCAATGGGTAACAAATGGATAACCAATGGGTCTAACTTTTACATTTGTAAAGCCTCAAATTGGGGGTTCCTCAAGTTAGAGAGACCAAGAATTTTCCCAAAAGTAATCATATGCAAGAAGTCATGGATAATATGGTCGGGTCGGATAATTGATCCGTTTTTTCATTATCCATTTTCGACCCGAACCATATTCGACCCGACCCACCCGTTTGCCGTTATAAATGGTTAAACATTCATTCATCTCCAGCAGGAGTCCATGTGAATTAAGAAGTGAAAGGGATTAGCCCACTTTAACAAGGAAAATAAGGTGACAGACAGAGCATCCAAAAGAAATGGTGCAGACTAACACAAAAGCTAAATATGTCTATTTAATTTTCAATTGCTTTGCCTTAACCTAACCTATTACCATATGATCTAGGTTTTAAATTTTAAAAAAAGTATTTGAGACTGAGACGTAAAATGGAACCAATCGACCAATTTGTTCCCATTCAAGGTGTTTGATAATTATTCCACGTGCATTAAAAAGGATAGAGTAAAAGGGTAAAAAATTTAGCATAGGTCGCATAACCTATCAGCGACATACTGTTTCATAAAACTACAGACCTCTGAACGCCCTTTACTTTGTGATACGATCCGTTTTGACAAAAATAAAAAAAATAAAAACAAAGAAGAAAAAGAAAAAGAAAAAGAAAAAGAAGATGATGATGAAGAAGACGACAATGCTATCGACCGGATTTAGAATTTAGATGTTTTAAGTTCTGAGTTGAGAGTGTGAATTCTAATATGCATATCTATTTTGTTTTTAGGGAATATACATATATATACATATATATATATATATATATATATATATATTGACATTGTTGCCTGACCATGCACAAAAGTCGAAAATCTTAACATTTACGACTCCATCAAGTGCAGTAGATAATTAAATTAGAAGTCACATAAGGATAGTTGACTTTTATCTTTAGGTGACAGATGAAGTGATCAATTGCAAGTCCTTTGGTACGAGGTATAACAAGGTATAAAGGTGATATAAAAATTTAATACCACCTTAATATTTTGTTTGGTTAGCAAACCAGGTATAAATTATTTCGGTGTTAATTTTAACACCGGGATAACTTATACTCAATCCGTTTCAATTTATGTGAACCTATTTCCTTTTTAGTTTGTGCCAAAAAGAATGACCCCTTTCTTTATTTGGAAACAAATTACCTTTACACAATATTTTATAACCACACAAAATATATGTGCATCATTTTACACCACAAGATCCAAAGTCTTCTCCCTTTTCTTAAATTTCGTGCTCAGTCAAATAGGTTCACATAAATTAAAACGGAGGGAGTACCTTATAAAAGGTGGGGTAATTAGCATCGATATAACTTATATCTTCTTTTTTAAAATTATGCAATTGTCATTCTTAATACAACATACCAAACAATGAATAAACTGTTGTTCCTTCTGTACTTGTAAATAATGATTCTGGAAATTAAAACGTTAGCTTATTAACGTAAATATAAATAATATAAATGAAACACAAATTAATTCGAGCCCACTGAATTCACAGTGTTTCCTTAAGAAATTTAATCCCCTCCTAGTACCCAAGGTTATGGATTATTTCCTCCCAGGATAGAACGAATTACACACTGGTGTAGCGGCACTTCAAACCTCAGTGTTTCAGCGAACAGAAAGTTCGGCAGCAAATCACACTTACTGTTGCTTTGTTTGTAGTTAAAAACAATGCAGAATAAGGAGGACAACTCAGAAGTCGAATAAAAATTCTGAGAGGAAGGAATGCAAAGTATAGCCAATGTTGAATTCTTACTGAAGAGAATATCAGATTGCAATTCGTTTTTCCAGTGTATACGTAGTGTATACATAGTATATATCCAGTGTATACAGAGTGTATATTAAGTGTATACAAAGTGTTTCGAGTGTTTTTTCCGATGTGTTCTTCTTTCTCTCCAACTTATGCTCTATTTATAGCAGTTATTTGAGAGAAATACGCCCCCTCCATGGTGCAACAAGCACTAGGCTATCATGGAGGAAGCACTTACATGGTGGAATGTACACTTGCTTGGTGAGAGGAGCACTTGCACCATTGTGGGAGGTGCACTAGGTTGCTTATTTCTTAGTGTTGCAACACAATACACGGATTGGAAAACATCCGTTACAAATACGGATTATATCACG